TATATCTGTACTCACACCATATACCGAAACCTGATACAGATAAAAAATCGATTCGTTTCATTCGGCAAACCGTATCGTGGTTTCACCGAATAAAAAACCTATTAATGTTAACAAGAACGTTTTGGAAACGGCAAAAGCGGTTCGCTAAAACCGTATGTGTGAGCTCTACCGCTATTCGTGTTGCAAACATCGACTTCCACAATGTGGCTATTTTGGTGATGATGCTCACATAGGTACATCATTTCCATACATTCTTTAGTTGTCTACCAGCAATGGCAATTGTAGAGCGTTCCGTTTTGGTAACAATATTGACAAATAAAGATTTTTTTACAATCTAAAAGTGGCACAATTATAATACGAATAATATACTAAGATGCATACTCCATTTTTTCTAGAGTATTAAAAGTAAATTATTATAAATTAACGTAAGCTAAGCTTTTCCAACTTTATCCATACAAAATATAAACAAAATACACTTTTTGTCTTAACATATGGACAGATAAACAATTTACAAAAAATATTAATGGAAAAAATTGAAATTAAAGCATTCATATAATTGATTTTCAAACAAATAAAACAAATACGTTATCAAAAGTAATATTACGCACCATATAAAATATAATTTAATATTCCACAAAAATATACTAAGTCCTTATATATTAGAATTTGGGGCGTTATTTATTATCTACTTAAATTTACGTGATTACATTATAGGTAGCAAATAGCGCATTTTTGTAATAAAGAAGAAAACTCTCACATACATCTTATAATATTAAATGAGTATTTTTAATAAAACTGTATTTTTGGATTTTTTCGCGGATTTATTTTAATTTTTATTTCCCAACGTTTCCAATTCTTTACAGCAGTCATGACCGTGACCAAAAATCAAAATAAATCCGCGAAAAAATCCGAAAATATAGTTTTATTTAAAATGTTAAATATTCGCGTAAATCAAAGAAAGTATTATTAAATGAGCAAAAATATATATATATATATATATATATATATATATATGTATATATATATATATATATATATGTATATATATATATATATATATATATTTCGTGTATCTCGGAAATGGCTCTATGTATATAGATAAGGTTTTGCTTTTTAAGTTTATCTATATAGGTGTCTTTTTCACTTTTTCACAAAATAAATAATTATTATTAGAGCCTTTTTCTATCTGCTGTCATATAACGAAAGTTCATAAATATTTGTAGTACTTGCATTGTCACCAATGGATGTGAAACTACAGAACGAGTGCCTACGCTGCGTAAGGCTCGGTCACTCAGGTACTGATCTTATAAACCAGGTTTTGTAGAGCTACATATAAATGAAAATTTATCTTTCTTTTCTTCAATGGATGAAGCATGATGTTACTAGTAAATCATTGGGCAAAAAAGAGTTACTTTCTACAAAAAATGTATTTTTCAACAGGCTAGAAAATAAAATATTGTAAAGGCTTCATGTTTACAGTTTTTTTTATTATTATATTATAATATGTATATGAGTGTAACCTTTAGAAATTCTGAGAGATTCTGTGAGCTTGTATAAGAATACTTTGTTAGATAGCTAGCGTTATCTTACAGGAGCTAAAATTTTGTGATGAAATAAAAGTATTGGACAATGGAGTTATTTTATAGAAAAATGAACGTTAAGATTTGATTGATAGTAAGAAGAAAGTGTTAGAGAAATATGCGAAGAAGAAATTTGAAACCATAATTATAAAAAGTAATAATCGCAGTCTATACAGGAGTCCTGAAGAGTAGAAAGTAGACCAGGAAGATAGAAATCGTAAAGGCAAGCATTGACACTAAGAAATCTAAATAAATTAATGTTGTATACCTAAAATTTTAATCAATATTTGGGGATAGCAATACTAAATTGTTTTTATTTATTTATTAATTCAGACAATATATAGAACAGTACTTAATTTAGATAAAGTTATAATTATAGATAGCGCTTCTAGCGATCTATTGCATCTAGAATATAATATTTTCAATTACAAAGAGTTTATAGTAGACATGAAAATATTTATAGTAAACATCGATTTTATAAGAAACACGTATAGGCCGTGAACGTACGTAATATGCCTAAATGTGTAACTTGTATAGGTAATACTTAAACACAATATTATATTCTAAGGTTAACTTATAAAGGGGGCATCAAGAATGTGTCATTTTACATTCTTTGAAAAATAGATTTTAAAAATCGTTTTCAAACGACAAATAAAATCTATATACCATCTCATATATTTTTTAGATTGTAAGATTGAGAATACATCTTGTTTACGAACACGGCGATAAAGTAAGCGCAGAGAAGCGCAAATTAAGATTCTAAACCACATTTCTATGTTCGCATGAAATGCTTTGAGTTAAACACCCTGTATTATCCATAACGCGTCATAAATTTTAAAGCAACACGAAAACAGCGTAAATGTATTCATTCTAATATAAAAAAAATAAGGACAGCGAAGTAATTGCAATAAGCTCGAGTCTTGAAGTAAAATGTAAGAAAAGGAAAAATAGTGTTCAAAATTAGTATTCGTGTTATTGCACTCGGGTACACTACTTATATGTTTAACACCTCCAGGTAAATTTCTAAGAAATCAATTAAATTTCTAAGAAATCAATTAAATTTCTAAGAAATCAATGAAATTTCTAAGAAATCAATGAAATTTCTGAGAAATTAATTAAATTTCTAAAAAATCTATTGTTAACTGTAATTCTGGCGTGTCCGCCGTCGTGGAGGGATTAAATAACGTGATTTAAAATAAAAATATAATCGATTCATATATAATAGTTAAGGTAATACGGTGGTTATACAAGTTCAAAATATTACAAAGTATCTACAACATGTACAGCGACATAACAAATAAAAAGTTTACATTCATGCAACACAACATAAAAATTGATCAATCAACATTTATCTACTAAAATTAAGATAATTGTATCCGTTTTCAATATCTACAATATAATATGAAAACGACATGAACTACCCACATAAATTCGATATCGAAAACCACTACTAAGTCGCAAGTAGCGCCATACCCCTAGAAAAGTATACGAATATAGAAGAAAAAGGTGAATAAGTTGACATCTCGAAATGTACGCATTTGTGCTGTTAAATTAGCATTATTATTAATATTTTAAGACGAAGGATGCATAGAAGAAGACGTCTAATTGAACACTTATTCACCTCACTATGTACATACCCTACATACATATCTAGTTAAATAGTGTTAAATGTAAACAGGTGTCAATATTTACAACATTCACTATTGTTTTTACATAAATAGGTATTATATAATAATGATTTATAATTTGTGGTTATAGACAATTATACTTGTTCACAGTTTGCGCTGAAATGTGGCTTCGAGGGATTATTTTTTACAAACAATCATTTCTAAGGTATCATATTGATTTACTACAGAGTTGGGATATTATTTTTCGTCTATTACACATAATTTTATTATTATTATGTATAAAATTATTTGTTCAATAAATATTTACTGGGTTTTTTGGCGGATTTATTTAGTTTTTTTTTTGTGAGGTTTGCTTCAAAGCATTCAAACGTCTTAGAGTAAACATGGTCAGAGGAGAGACTAATCATGTTTGTCACTCCCGTGAGCATGTTTGCTTTAAAGCATTCGAAACGTCTTTAAAAAATTAAAATAATGCCCATAAAATATCTAAATGTAGTTTTATTTAAAATATTTAGAAAATACGTTATAATTTCAACTCCAATTTTTTTCTGTGCTAGAAAGTTTAAGTATAAATAGCTTGAAACTTATAAAATCATTTCTTAATAAAAATAACATATTGAGGAGAAAATAATTCATTTCTCTAAAGTTATCACGAATTTTAGATATACTTATCCTTTCGATGGCTTTGTAGACTTGTAACATTATTTTACACGGTCAAGTAAATTTGTGTCTTAATGATTTGTTAATAAATGCAATATTCCATCGAAGCCGTTTCAACGTCTAAACCATGACTAACTACTGTTTTGGTGTTGATCCTTTTGCCGGCCTGGACGGACTTATGTCCTCAGGAACTCTAGCCTAACTTATGAATATCTTATTCTATACACCAATATTAGATTTATCTCCACTTTAAAATTTAATATGAAAATTAATTCCGTTTGCATCGACTTTGTATGTACATATTGTATTTTAATAATTTTATTCTAATTCAGTTAAGTATAGTATTATTATATACATTCATATATATTTCTTCATTAATTTCATTAAACCAATAATGAGTTTTTATCAGAAGAATCGTCGTTTTCAATACGATTCATGATTTAAATTTTAAATGTCCACTTTATGTATAAGTAAATATAAAATGTATATATTATTAAATGTTTAAATTTTATATGCGAAGATTATGAGAATTCTAAGAATTCTTATTGAAAAAATTTCAATATTTCCTATCTAGCTTATATTAAACACATTTTACGATACTTCGACTACTTTTCATATCACGTTTTACAAAACACAGTCTGTATCTTCATAACATCCATTAAGTTATACCGTTACTGTTCTCATTTAAAAATAAATCTACTTGTTATCAATTGGATTAATTAATTTTTCTTATTTGAAAACCACGCTTTGAATTAAATATATAAAAAAAATACAGTAGGTACCTTTATATATAACAAATTGTTATTGGTTCAATTGAATTAAAAGATATTTATTGTAAATTTTTGATTTAACATATAATGACTAAAATGATTTATCATATGGTAGGCACAATGGTATTTGAGAGACAGAAATATTATGAGCAGAGAGTGAAAATGCCTTCAAATGTTGTAATTTCAGAGAGTTTTAATTATTTATTTGAAAAATAGCATACGGTACAATAATTAGTTCTATGAGGAAAAGAATTTTTTTTGGTAAGTCGAGATGTTTTTATATATAATGTAAATACTGTTTTAAATATATAAATACCATATACATATATATATAATTTTTATATAAATGTAAGAACTATTTATATATAAGTACTGAGCGCTTGCCGGAAGTCGTGAAGTGCTGCTAATAGTTGAGGCGCAGTTGGTCGCGCGGGCGGTGAAGTGGTCCAACACCATGACATTAGGCCATACCTGTTACAATAATATATAACGAATGACAATACGTTTGGCTCAGTTTGTAGTGAACCTACTTGTTGTGCCAGCGATCGCGGGTTCGAGTCCCGCTGAGGGGAATTCATTTGTGTGATGAGCACAAATGTTTGTACTCCAGTAATGGGTGTTTATATTTATAATATGCATGTATTTAAAGTTATAGTCCAAACATATTTATTTATTTATATCTAGTGTATGTATAGCTTTACTTATATTTTTATTATTTAAAAGGAAATTGATTTGAATATGAATTAAAATTAATATTAGTTGAAAAGGAACGAAATCACGGGAAGGACAGGAGTGCATAACTTCGTACCATGTCTCTTGTGGGTTAGTCAAAAAAACAATGTGGCAAACATTACGGTATCTATATTCTCTTTATATACGCTCGTTGGGGAGTCCTTAGACTTTAAACCCGACCTTCTTTTTAGTACCTCCGAGGTCTCCTCCAATAGTTTATTAGGAAATTTTCTAATTACTGTTTTATATATATAAAGCTGGGCAGTCATTATTTACTTACAATTCATCAGGACAATTGTGTGGTTGAGAAGGTCTATATCCTCCATTAAGGAAGGCTCCAACGTCAGCAGCATCTAGTTCTGCTAAAGGTGACGACCCCAATGTTGCTAGTTCCCATAGTGTTATACCTAATGACCACTATAAAAAAATATTTCTTATATTAATTAAGTATAAGAATTATTCTAAATTCCAAAGACTAATTAAATTTTCAACGTTCTTTTTTAATATAAATTAAAGAAGTTTCCATAAAACATAAAAGAAACGGTAAAACAAAATTATTATTCGTACTTTGAAATCAATAAAAAAAATTGTTTTAAGGGTTGGGATTCTTCTTGAAAATATGGAACTACCATTGAGGTACAACAATAGCTTATTTATTAAAAATATGAAAATTGAGTCATAAATGTTATTTTTATGCAGGTTTTATTAGTTTGTTTGTAAAAAAAAAAATTGTTTATATATCAAAATATTATGTTTAATAGTTATTAATTTTCCTCCTCCCTATACTTACGACATCTGATGCAGTAGTGTATTGGTTCTGTAACAGCGATTCAGGCGCCATCCACTTCACTGGCCTGTTCTCATTATCACCCAAACAGTGATAATCATCCGGGAATAAATCCCGAGATAAACCATTGTCTGTCACTTTCAGTCTCAATTTCTCATCAACTCTGTTGGATGATAAAAATATAAAACGATCTTAAAATTAAATAGACAATATGATAAAACTTATTAGCTTCAATCAATTCATTAAAATAATCATAAAAATCGGTTCGCACTTCCAAAAATATGTCGTTACGTAAAATACACACAAAAAATACAATACAAAATAAATTTGTCAAGACGTTTTATATTATATTTAATACCAAAATTTTAAAAACTGTTCATTTTTTATCACATCTTAAATATTTCTTAAACATTAATTCATTGTATTATCTAAGAGTCATTCAATGTAGAATTTCGACCTATAAAATTTAATTATAAATATAGATTATACAACAACTTACATGCAATTCCTAGCAGCAATATCAGCGTGTACTACTCGTTGGACATGGAGATACGCTAGGCCACACGCAGCTTGCGCGCCTAGGTCTACAAGCTCGCGAGTAGCGGGAGCTGTTTGGTGACCCAGACGACACGATGTTAAGAATCTGGGAAGAAACACTTATATTATTGAGCTGCATTTAAAAGATTTTATTAGAATTATTTAATTTTAAAATATGAGGTGAAATTGAATGACGATTAGCTATATTTGTCCCGGCTCCACCCATTTTGTCATTGCATCGGAGTCGCACTTTTTTACTCTCAAATTCATTTACCATACGAGTTTTGAAACAGATGCCTTTATATACTGTACTAAAAAATGTAGACTCGAAAATGTAGATTTTAAGGTTCAGTGATAGACAGCTATCTTGATGAAAGATGGTGTTAGGTGGTAGGTGATAAGAAACAAACAGTCAGAACAAGCGACTTTACGAGTATATACAGTAGGATAACAAAAATTGAATGCAATTCCTTTGTATTTCTCCTTTAAATATCCATATAGGATAATATTATAGCATAACATAGATTTATTGTTATTTAAACAAAACACGATATATCTATATAACTAGATTATAATATATAATATATTTAAACGAGCTATTCTTGTATATATATATATATCAATATATAATCTGAATCTCGGAAACGGCTTCAACGATTTTCATGAAATTTAGCACGTAGGAGGTTTCGGGGGCGATAAATCGATCTAGATTAGTCTTATTTCTGGGAAAACGCGAGTTTTCGAATTCTCATGCGATTTTCTTTTGCATTTTCACAATTTTTGCATTGTTAGTTGTCAGTTGTCACTTCTGGTGGGTGGGAGGCGCCACTGTGCAACTGTCAACATCGTGTCCGTATTTACATCAAGTAAAAAAATATTTAAGTGGAAAAAATCTAAATAAAAATGGTAAATTATATTAATCGATAAAACCTATGGGCAATATGTAAACATCACCAAGTCTTGATGTGTTGAAGAACAAATGAGCTTTTAAAAATTCACCTACCAAACAAATACAAAAGTGACAAACATAACTTATAGATAGTATCAGTGCAAAACCATCTTTTCTGTGTGTGATGACAATAAAACAAAATAATTTGTGAAGTGCAAGCGTAAAATATTAAAACATAAGTTTATAACCTCAAAGACTAATACTCGGTATAAAATTGATATTCAACTAGGTATATATATAATTGATGCTCTTTTTCAATTAGCTTTTCTACTTCCAACTTCACACTTAAGATTGAGGACATAAAAAAGTTGTTAATAAACTTGCAACAAGAAATAAAACAGCAGAAAACAGAAATGTTAGAAATGAAAAAAGACATTAAAAATACAATCAACAATAATATACTTAAATGAGAGATTTAAACAGTTAGAAATAAAAATTGAAGTTCTTGAGAAAAAAATCCAGGAACAAAGTACCTTAATAAATAATTTAGAAAGACATATTAGGCGCAAGAACTTGGTTATGTTCAGAGTAGAAGAAGGTGAAAAATCCTATCATGAACTAGAGGAAAAAATAGTCTTAAACAAACGCAAGGAGTTACAAGCCCAACTGAAGATAAAGAAAAAGACCTAGGCAAAACAGCTTTCTTAAAATATGACAAACTAATTATTGTGGATAATAAGAACACTTCTCACCAATACTCAAATATAAAATAATATTAAAGATTTTTAAAATAATTTAATTCCAGATTACAAAATTATTAGTTAAAAAATTATAAGTTAATAAATAGTCACTAAATTATATAATTTTATATTTCAGCAATGTGATATAGACATTTTTTCTGATAGTTAAATTTATTTAAAAAGAAAGTGTAAACATTTAGATTAGTTTTTTTTTCTTCTTTTGTTTATTGTACAACTAAAATGGCTCCTTATATACTCTTAACCAAATAAAATTTTAATGGAATACTTTTATAAAAAGCTGTGCATACTTTTAAATTAAATTTATAATGGTAAGTAAAATTATAATGTTAAATAAATGTTTTTATGTAAATTTAGTTAGTAAGCCTTTATAATAAATATATGAATAAAACAATAGAGATTTATTATTATTATGATTTCGTTTGCATTATTTCAATAAATTAATAATTAATAATTCCACGCAAAATATTATGTTCGATAATTTCGCACGCTCAGATATAAGCATCATGGTCAAGCAGCCAATGCGCATGTTTGACAACCACAGGTGTCTGGGTTCGTATCCCGGTCGGACACAAAGTTTTTAATTTTGTTTTTTTTTGTATTTATTCAAATTCTTAGATTGTTTTTTTAAATGTTTTTTTGGCCAAAAACTCCGAGCAAGGCTCGGTCGCCCAGGTACTATACTTCATATGAGTCAAAAATATGCGTTTGCGGAAAACAAAAGAAATGTTCATAAATGTTAGTTGATGGGGTCGCTAATAGCTTACTGAAAGGTGTTAAATGTCAGAAGTCAGATCAATGACATGAAATAGACGCGTCAAGTCATCATGTATGACGTCGACGTCGGTCTGCCTTCATTTTAACTTTTCATGTGTTTTTACATTTGAAGCTTCCCTAGCATATACAGGCATATTTTATGTTTTTAAATATACATAATTTACGAGCTTTTGTCCGATACCTTAGTTTATTTACGTATAGTTTGACCTTAAATTTATTCTAAGCTTACGACTTTACCAAATAAATAGCGTACAAAGTTCTAATTTTTTTTAAGATAATGACATCAACTCAAAAAAATATCAAAAATAATTGTATAACTTCTAAAAACTAAGTTTTAATTAACATAATATTATGAAATTTAAATAAATCAGGTATTATTAAATAAATTTAAAATTATATTCAAAATGCAACCAAAATCTAGTTTATAATGAATTTATTTGAAACGAACAGCAACCGCAGTGACCACAACTGAATAATAGATTGTATCCTAGAACTCAATTATATTTTATCTATTTTATTATGGCCTAAATATGATAAGCAGAGTTATCAGTATCTATATGTGGAATAAAATTTAGTACAGAAATCTAAGAAAATATGGATTTTCAAATTCCCATTACTGACAATATTCTGTACTAAATTTAACTCATTAAAAAACACACACACAGACAAATTTAATAGATTTGCTAGTAGCAGCTTAAAAGATAATCTTTTTTCAAGCACCATCAACTCGGCTTCATAATACGAAATTGTTATAGGGTCATCCAAAAGGCATTAAAACTTCGAATCAAGTTCATATGAAGTAGATAAAATCTAGATTAAAAATTCTATCGCTATGTAAGAATTAGTTACTCATTATCTAAAAAGAAACAACAACAGATAATGATAGAAGATTCAAATACATATCAGTCCAATGGTGTTCAAAATTCCATAAAACTTACATTCACTTTTAACCTCATTATACTCTATATTTAATCTATCTATACTAATATTATAAGGAGGTAAAGTTTGTGAGTTTGTGACGTTGTTGTCTACTGAACCGATCTAGATGAAATTTGGTATGAAGATAGTTTGAAACCCTGGAAAGCATATATTATACTTTTTAACCCGGAAATCATCCCTTAAGGGGGTGAAAATGGAAATGAATGTTTGTATTGGGAAGCAAGCTAGGGAGGAACAAGGGTGAAGCGAGGGTGAATCGCTAGTTTATTTAGATTATGAGTAACCTTAGTAATGTAAGTAATGAAAATATTACAAGCATTCTTAAGTAATTTCTCACATTTACGCGAATATTAGAAATTTTAAATAAAACTATCTCTTAGGATTTTTTCATGGATTTATTTCGATTTTTGGCTCCCGATGTTTCGAATGCTTTACAGCAATCATGGTCACGGAAGAGACTTAAGGTTAAAGACGTCTCCAAAAACTCCGAAAAAATAGTTCTGTTTAAAATATTCTTAAACTAAAAAATTATAAGCATTTACCTTTTTAAATTGGAAGAATGCGATACGCAACAATACACTAACAAAGGTTTCCTGGCTTCTTCTGCACACGCTGCCATTGGTACTAGCACATTACCATGTACCAACCCACATAGCCTAAGTCCTTCAGCCACTAGCAATGCCGCTTGCATCGCTGATGCAGCTTCTAAACATTTTATTATGATATATTTATATAGCCATAGAAGCTTAGACACGATGTTATTCTACAGTTGTTGAAGTATAGAAATCTAAAATACTATGGAAATTGATTTATGACTGATTTTTGTCACATCAATATATTTTTCAAAATTTCTAGTTTTTAACTATTAAAGAATGATATCTTGTCTGTGGTTTGAAACGTTTCCCTCGTGTCCTAGGCATAATACAAAGGGTATAGTAGAATTACATACACATATATAAGTATTTAATATCCAATTTATTTATTATCTATTTTAATATTATAAATGTGAAAGTTTGTGAGTATGGATGTATGGATGAATGTTTGTTACTCTTTCACGCCAGAACGGCTGAACGGATCTGGATGAAATTTGGCACAGAGATAGATTATAGTCTGGAATAACACATAGACAGACTACTTTTTGTCCCGGAAGAATGTAAGGTTCCCGTGCGACAGGTTTGTTTTTGTTTTCCCGAAGTATTTCCCGAGTAAGAAATAATTAGCTTGAAATAATAATAAATTATTTTTGTGTAAAATATTTATATTTATTGCAAAGAATAATTTTATTGCTTCAGTATTTTTATCAACTACTATCAATTTTCAATGATCAACACAAACTATTACATGTATACGGGAAGTTATAATATTTATTCTTTTATCTAGCTCCTGTCTGCAACTCTGCCCGCGCCTACTTCGAATGTAGGTTTTAAATATAGTATTGATCGATTGATTGAAAGAAAACGTAATTATTTTTACTTAATTTTGTTTCGGTCTTGGACCTAAATAAAAAAAATACTAAACATTCTAGAAACCGTTACAATCCAAACAAAATATATTTTAATAAACACACAAAAAAGTAAGAAATGTGTTTCTAAAACCATTTCTTCTACAACTTAGACAATATAAAAATTTGTATATTTATAAAATTGAAGTAAAATTATTGTAATTGGATAATTTTTGATGAAATCTAGAGCACTTACCAGAAACAGTCTTTACTAAAACCTCTTCATACGTGTCACCGCGCTTGAAGACTCCCTTGTAAACTCTTCCAAACGTACCTTCGTGAACTAAAATTTCAAGGCGAATATTCGACCTCAAAGTAGTCAACAGACGTAGTTGTTCACCTGGATCCGTTATGCGGTCTTTTGTTATTGTTTGCTGTTAAAGAAATATAATTATTATTTATTTATATAGCTACTACCTGTTGCTTTGCTCGTGTTTTTGAATTCTATTTAACTTTAAATCACCAAATATGACCTCTGCCTTATAGAAATGCACAAAAAAATTGGAAACTCGATCCATATCTATGGATTTTAATCGATTGAAATAAATTAAAAAGTACTCTTGACCGAGTTTCGGCTATGCATGATTCTGCATATATTGACCGTAAAAGATTACGTTTCCATGGGACAATAATTCAACTGGACTAATAAGAAATCCTCTACTATGACGCAAGGAGTATCCAAACTGGTAATTTTTGATAGAAAAACTCAATACTTATAACTTGGTTCGATCCGGGACTAAAACAAAATTAATAATTATTGTAAATACCTATATAAAATAATTTGTGTATCTCGAAAACGGCTCTAACGATTTGGATCTAATTTTGTATTTACATAAAGTTTAATTGCTTTTAAGCTTTTATATATATATATATATAAGCTAGATCTTCTAGATGCTTACATATATATCTTGTACATACATATCTTGTACGTCTAGCGGTTTCATAATGATGCGTTATTAAAGTGGTAGAGAGAATATGAGCATTTTTAATTCCCAGACACATTTTTTTAAATATTTAATTTACAATTTTCATATTAGACCTTATAATTTAATTTTAACGTCATTTTTTTTTATTTTACAAAATATTTTGATATAATATTTGTATTTTTTCGGATTTCTTGTGGATTCATTTTAACTTTTCATTTTCGGCGTTTCGAATGCTTTACATATGCAAATATGGTCACGGAAGAGAATTTACTAGTGAGCTCATTACGCTAATAACCATATACGCAAAATGTGAAAACTGACTGAGTATATTTTACTTTGCGCTATTATTGCCATACGTATTAATGTAATACTAATGAAGATAGGTTATTCTGGATAAACAGATAAGCTAATATTTTATCCATATCACCGTAGCGGTGGATAAAACTATGAAATTTTACGAATTTTGTCAAATTCAAACTAAAATCGCTACCTATGAACTCAAAATTACCAATGTAATTCGTATTACAAAAGCTACCTGGCTTGACTTCAAGAACATTTCTCATCTAGTTAATTTATACTTCGTGAAAGAGGAATTCCTGATAACGATTTTTACCTTCGTTAGTGCCTTGCCTTTAGGACACTAATTCATATTTCCTAAAGACTTTCAACGGCGCGACGACAAATTTACGAACAAAGGGGGGTTGCAAATTAAAAACGCTGTTCCTTGCCAAAGATTATAATCAAATGGTAAAACTAAACTAGAAACGACATGGTAAAAAAGTACAGTACAAGTACTTATTTACTATTGTTTACTTACCTATAATTAATGTATTCAAACATAGTATAAGTCTTTATAGGGTTAGTCATTTCACTCAGATGCATTCCTAGCCGCCTAAAGTAACCTTCGTGTTACTACAGATCATAGTCTATATGAGTAAGTACTAAATTTTATACAAAGCCGTCAAGTCATTACAGCGTGAAGGAGTAACAAACATACACACATTCAAACTTTTGACGATACGTTTGGCTCCGTTTGTAGTGACACTATTTTCTGTACCAGCGGTCGCGGGTTCAAGTCTTGCTGGAGGCATTCATTTGTGTGATGAGCACGAATGTGTGTCCAATCGTGGGTGTTTATAATTAAACTAACAACAGACAAAGACAATTATGCTAAATATTTAGCTAACTTAAAACTTGATTTACCTAATACTTTTTTAGATTTACGGGGATATTTGACATCTATACATATAATAAATTTGTAACCAACCCGAATCTGTACATTAAATAGTTTTTGGAAAATCTTATTGAAATAGACATTATTATCGATACAGAGGCCGAATGTATAGTTTTTGGAATTTTTGTCTTTCTATCTGTCTATCTGTGATCACATCATGGAAAAAACATTGGAGAGATTTTGATGAAATTTGGTACGATGATAGCTCCGGGTCAATCTCTGAAAAATCTATACTAAACGTTAAAACGGAATTAGGGACGAACCCGAGCAGAGCGATGGTGACTCGCTAGTTTTAAATAAAACCATTTTTGCAATTTTACTCGCCGATTTGTTTTGATTTTTGGGAATTGATTTTGTAACATATCGGTATATACCGCAGTAAGCTATTAAGGAGTAAACCTGGTACTCTTGTAGCGTCTAACAATAGTAACGTTTGGCAACCGCAAAAGGATCATGGACTTTATGGTCTATGTCGACTTGTTTGTGGGTTGTATTTAGTTAGATAACGAAGGCTTTCCATTCAGGCATAAAGCCAAAGTCTAGAACATTAATTAATCTCTGTACATATACATGCTTTACAACATCTCCAGTTTCTCTATATTTTGTTACATGTATGTATACAAATATAATTTTTTTGATTTTTATTTTTGCTAACTATTATTTCTTTATACAAATTGATTAAAATATGAAAAATGCAATCTATACAATATATAATAAAAGTGTTTGTACATAGAAGGTATTTGAGAAAAAAACTATTATTGAGGTTCTTTATTAACGCAATAGAACCTAAAACAATGATTTATAATTTTTTTGTCTGTTTGTCTGAGTGTTTGTGCGTGCTAATCTCAAAAACGGCTTCACTGATTTAGATGCGGCTTTCACTAATGTATTGTAATAAGCTTCACTTAACATTTAGTATTAGTTTAATTTCAATCGGTTCATTAATAAAAAAGTTATGTTAATTTAAAGAATCACCTAAAGACGAATTCGAGCGAAGCTAGCTTCGCAGTTTAAATAATATATTCTTATCCTTCTTATTAGACGTTGCAAAATATTCATTACTCTTAATTTAAATTATAGGGCAATTCTAGTAAAACTTTAAAAGGCTTGGAGGCCAAGAAGATCGCTAATTGCATTACGTTTGTGTCACCTGAAGGGGTGCAACTCGCTTAAATTGGATCCTTAATGATGTAAAGGGCTCATTTTCTGCGCAATTCAATCTTTCCTCAAAGCTCAAAAAGTTTGAAAGTAATTCTTATTACAGAACAGAAACACAAGCTCCTTCCAAGAGATTTTCTGAATCACACTATGTGTATCTAGTTTGTAAGTGGCGTTACAAGACAAGAGGGTTTTATTGTAAAAATATATTTATTTATCCAATAACAAATGTAATAATATTTATTGTTGAAAACTAACTACTGTTAAATAAGTTAATTTCAATGTTTATTATAATAATATAACTAATATTGTTTCTATTTAATTATTCAAAGAAAGATTTTGAAAAATTGATTTTAAATAATATCTATATAGCCTATGACACTTCACACTTGCGTTATCAAGACGAATCGAATGACGTATGAATCATCAAAATCGGTTAAGGCGTTTAGTAATTACTTCTACATAGAATGGGACATACATATATACAGGTCAAACACATAACCCTCCTTTGGGATTTGTCGCAGTCGGGTAAAAAGGCATACACTATTATGGAAAATCTATAAAAAACAATCTTCACTATAAAAAAATATATATATTATTACGCGTGACTGACTATTTGAGAAATACTTAATAACAAATATTACCTAATAATTAATAATTAATTAATTAAGAAATAACTAATTAATTATTATATACAATGTACCTCGCAACCAAGGTGCAAACTTTTTGTGTCCTTTTTGTTTTCTTTCGACAGTATTAAAACTTAGATTATAATTAGAAGACTTTATAAGAAGTTTGTTGAAGAATAAATCAACTCTGTACGTAACGAACCTGAGATATAAAGCTTACTTTTTAGTTTTATCACTCGTTATTTTTAAATAAATACAAGTATAATCTAGTCTACTATACCATAAAAAATAATGATGCCCCAGGTATATACAAAAGGTAGCATTACCCATTTTTATTTGTGCTGTGTGATTTATTATCTAGTACCTCCAGTACAAATGTCAGTGTCGATAAAGAATCTCTCTATGACGTTGCCTTTGAGGAGACGGAAGACTCGCGAATGTCGTATCTTTTTTTTTAATTTTATTACAGATAAGTTAAGAAAAAAAACTTTTAGGACACCCATATTTCTGTTTAAAATTTGACATTTTAATTTATCGTAGGGAGAGAACATACAGGTTGAATATATAACCCTATTTGGACCCCACCCCATTCGGATAAATAAAGACTGAAGAATGCACTGGATTTATATAATTTACACTAATATTATAAAAAGGTAATTTTTATAAGTCTGCTATACCGATTAAGATGAAATTTAGTATGAAGATAGTTTGTGGGAAGGGCAGAGAATATTTTTCTCCCGGAAATCACCCCTTAAGGGGATGAAAAGATGGATGAAAGTTTATATGGGGAATCAAACATTCCTCAAGTAAGCGATATATAACTATCATCATATATATATATACCAATATATGGACTATTTATTCCATATGAACATTCAAAACGTACCTGAGGACGAACCCGAGCGAAGCGAGGGTGAGTCGCTAGTTAGGTATGTAGATAATTAACGGTAGCAGTAGTAGATAGGTAGGTGCAGGTGCTACTAAAATAATTTTAAGGTACGAAATAGAAACCACTAAAATTACTATTGATAATATCACAATACAAAATGAGGTTCCTCTCGCTGTGATCGAGTGCTACCACATAGTGCGGTTTAATTTATCTACAGGCAACATTAGAATGTATGGAACGAGTTATAGGAATCTGCATTATTAACTTCCGAGATAGAGTACAGTTTTCTACGAGTATTGTCAACTTTGAGGAAAGTTAAATCGTAACGGTAGTCAAGCAGAATAAAAATAAAAGAGCTGTTGTTAGCCTAACAATATTAAAATGATATGAGAAATATACAAGTTTAATTTCCATTATACATTTGACTAAACATTACTTGCTAGTTCACATAGAAATATGTTCAGTACAATTCAATTTACTTGTTAATGGCTTCAAAGCGTGTTGAATTGGTATGATTTTTTTTTATAAAAAATCAATTTTTACTTATTTATTTCTTTTAATATCAATCAGATTTATAATACTTTATTTAAATAAAAAATAGTATGCCGAGTTTCTTGAAATAGTTCTTTCCGGAAATGAGGCGTTTTGTTTAAGTGTAAATTTTTTTAAAGTGTGTTATTATAAAAAAAAGTTAGTTATTACTTTTTGTATTAATGATACATTTTGAAACATAAAATTTGTAAAACCAATTGCATCGATAAAAGTTTTATGTTTATTTTTTACATTATTAACACTAACTCGTAATTTAGGTCTAATTTATTAAAGGTAGAATCGTAATTTTGTATTTCCGTGGTCGTAAGTACATAAGTAGAGGTTAAATTAAGGAGATTTATTGTTAGTAGGTTAATGCGTAAAATTGGGTCAGCCTTTTGGCAAAGAAAATACGTTACGAGGATAACATCCCAAATATCATATGTTCCGAACACTATTATTGAAGTAAACTGTGTGTGTTTGACATCCCTACAAAATAAATAATAAATAAATGAATATGTTGGGACATTAATACACAGCACCATCTAGTTTCATTCTAAGTTAAGCTATGGATACTAGATACTTGTTACACTACACATATATAACTTTAAATACATAGTGACATATTATAAATATAAATACCTATGACTAGAGTACAAACATTCATGTTCATCACACAAATGAATGCCGCCAGCGGGACTCGAACCCGTGACCGCTGACCCAGCAAGTAGGGTCATTACAAACTGAGCCAAACGTGTCGTCCAATAAAGTAAATAAAATATAAGTCATTTTAGTGTAAACATTGACCTTACAATAATTTTTAAGCGACATTTCTATGAATTCAAAGGGTACACTTTTCGTTTTATGAAGTTCCATATAAATATCGAAATATATTTTAGTGATCCTTTTCTTATAAACACCTACAATATTTATAAACTAAATTAATTCCTATAAAGTAAATGGATTTTTTTAAATATACTTCTAATAACTTTATATATATTTACATAACTTACCTGAGATACATGAGTAAGATTGGATGCTGCATAGTAAGATACTCGAGACTCTGGCTTAGCGTAGATATGTTCACCTATGTGCGTCGTTGCGTAAGGCGAGGGTGATCTACGGCTACCTGTGTGAAAATTTAATTTCTTTTAAACTCATAGTTAAGGTACGAGATGTATTTATTTATAATACGCTTAGTCAACTATAGTATATGGGACTCGTCAAAAAACTAGACTCGTCACTTTCCATCTCCTGGCTCCTTCATCAAATGAGCTCGATGGTACCAAATTATTTTATTACCTATCATCCGGATTACATATACTTAAGAAGTTTCATATCGATAGAAAAATTAGTGCATTTAAAAATGGAGATCCAAAATATATATTTAAATCTTACAAGTGAAAGCGTTCTAAGAAGATTTTTGTTAGATTTAATCTTGATTTTCCCAATTTACATTAAAAATTAAACCGATATAATATTTTCATAATTTTACTATACGACTTTAATACATATATATCTTAATAGACTATATTTGCATTATATATTATTTACCATACTATTGATTACTTTTAAAGTGGAAACAAGCTTTTATTGCTTCACGTTCGCAGTACGAAAACAAAGTTTGAATGCGTGTTCATGTGCTGGAAAATTTATAATGTATCCTGGAGCTGCAGTGTACTCGATACTGATATTATAAAAGTAAAGAAGACAACAAAATACATATAAGAAACTTTATAACAATTTTCATATAGAAATTATTTTTATTATATACTAGCGACTCACCCTCGCTTCGTTCGGGTTCGTCCCCAGGTACGTTTTAACGATTAGTATGGAATAAATAGATTATATAATTATATTATACAGCAACCCCTGCGTTTTTTTTTGAGCGGAACCCTAATTCTTTTTCTAAAATAAAAGTAGCCTATGTTACTCCCTATAACATCAGCTATCTTCCAGTGAAAGTCCCGTCAAAATCAGTCCAGCCGTTTCAGAGATTATCCGGAACTAACAGACAAACAGGCAAAAATTAAAAAAAAAATGTATTTTTCATATACTTAAGTACCGTCTATAATTTCATATGAATTTAGTAAAACCCTGTTATTTTGACATTACAAACAGACACTTCAATTTTATTTATCTGTATAGAATATAGACTAGCAACACATCCTCGCTTCGCTCGGGTTAGTTTTTGAGTTTATTCGTCACAAACATACAAAAATACAAATCTTTCCTCTTTATAACAGTAGTGTAGATAAACATACGATTAAATTTAAAATTAACCTAATATTTAACCCGTCTTTAAAAGAAGACTAAGGGGATAATACACGGACATTTTTTATTTATCTACTGTGGCTTGTAACTATTAAAAATACCTATACGTCATAGGCAATATGTCTAATCAATAAGCTCTAGAAAGAGAATAGATTTAAATAAAATACTGTTCGTATCATTGATTTGTTCGGATCCTTCCGAATTCATATTTTATTTCTTTGCTACGGTATTTTTATTTCATAATAATTCTCATTTATTTTAATCAGACACTTTGATCGGTATATAAACTAATTGACAAAATTACTTTATTTTTTGTATATAAAAAAACTACAAGTAAAACACCAAAGAAGTTAAATACTTAAGTCTTATAAAATGAAATATTGGTTAATACTTAATGCTAAAAGTTAAATATATAGTAATGGAACAAAAAATGACTGAGCCACAGATGAATTCATAATACTTAATTCTCTTACTGAAAATATTCAGTTCAATAAAAGGCTGGAATGGCTGCTGAAAACGATAACGAGAAGGCAAAAATATAAAGCTTATCATAGTAAAATAATACAGTTATGGTTTCAAATAAAATGTCCGATTAATTTAACCTAAAGTTAATCTACGTCTTTATATATACATATTATATATGTACATATATGTATATAATTCTTCTGTACGTGTGTATGTAAATGAACTCCTCCTAAGCGGCTGGAGCGATTTTGATAAAATGTTTTGTGCGTGTTTGAGTTTGGTTTAGACTCACAATAAGGTAGTGTCACCTACCGCGTCTAATTGCATATTAACATCGAGAGATAGAAAAAATAGTGTGCTTTTATTTGAAAGCTTGAGAAAAAATAATAATATACGGTATGAAGTTTCCAGATTTAAAAATATATAATTATGGTGTGGGATAACTTTGACGAGCTTCATTATATTCGGACACTCATAATATGTGTTTTCTTCTGTTATATACGCATTAGTTATCTTACTCTGTTAGTCCGTTAGTCCACATTAAACTAAAACTATGAAAAAAATAAAAGCTTTTTGCCCTATTCATACACTTACCAAAAGGAAATTTATGCAGGCTTGCTATCGTTGCATAGGATCCGGTCGAGCTTGGCGGCCTACCGAGCGTGTCCAAACGCAACAGCACATTTTGGTGACTTCCATACGCCGCAGTAGTGTACGATGTGCTGAAAGTAATAACTTATTAATAGTGATACAAAAGTCCGCCAACCCGCACTTGGCCAGCGTGGTGGTCTATGGCCTGATCTCCCTCGTATTGAAAGAGAGGCCCATGCCCAGCAGTGGGACGTTATAAAGGACAGAACGGCGGGTACAGCTATGAAACCTATATTAATATAATAAAAAACAGTTTTTTTTTTGTTTAAACGAGGTTATCTCTGAAAGTGCCAGTCGGTTTTGAAATACCCTTAACACCAATCAATCAAACAAAATCCTCAATTTTTGAGGTAGGTTATAATATAAGGCTATCTATCACGTTACGACATTTAGAATCGAAAGAGCTATCCATGTATAGAATACGCGAGTGAAGCCGCGGGGAAATAAAATCACTACAATTATTTAAAATCTATCATTCATGGTCATTAGTTGTTTGAGTTTTTAAATAAACATGACATTCACTTCTTGAATGTACGAGTATAATATGAAGAACATTTAAATATAAATAGATAAATAATTAAATATGTTGGGACATCATAACATACATCACCATCTAGTACCATGGTTAGCTACGAGGCTCGTGTTATGGATACGAGATAGTTGATACAATACACATATATACTATAGTCTATATATATATATATATATATATATATATATATATAAACACGCGTCCGATGGCACAGCAAGTAGGGTGACTACAAACTGAGCCAAACATGTCGTCATTTAGAAATCGATTTGTCTTAGATTATTGACCCGTCTCATAAGTATTTATACTATAAGTATTAATTATAAAAAGTTTATAAAATATCAAGAAACAAACTTTATCCCGTACAATTTTGTTATGTTAAACTTATAATATAAGCATTTTGCATGCAACTAAAATATCGCAAAAAAGCCAACAGCGAACGTTACGATAGAAAAATGAAAACGATATGCGAAACCTTTTAAGGTGGCGATACAATTTCAAATCCAGACAGGCTTGAGGTTTGCCGCCATCTATACGGTACGTAAAGGCAGTAGTTTGTTGTGTTTCAGCTATAGACTCTTACTTTAGTTTCAACTGCTTTAATTTTAATATTATAAACGAGTACTTTAAATATATTATTATTTTATGTTGTTAAAAAAATCATATTGAATTTCACTTATAGGTACACTTATAATGCATACTAGCTGTACGTAGAACATGTAGTGGCAATCAAAATTGTGAGTGTAGATAAATAGTGATTTTTATTTAAGTAGTAGTACAAAAAAAAATCAGACATGTGCAAATCTGACTTGCACTGAGGGTTTCGTAGCATGAAACATTAAAATAAGTTTATAATCGCAAAAAATAATAATAATTGTGATGTAAATAAAAATTAACGCTTTTAGAATTTTTCCTTTGCTCGTGCTATATACCTTCTGCGTTTTGCCAGATTTCATGATGCTACGTCAACGGGTACCCTATAGGTTTTGATTCCCTTACGAGTGTCAAAACATGCGTAAATAAATATATCATCTATTTTAATATTATAAAGAGGATTTTTGTTTGTTTGGTTGTTTGTTTGTTTGTACCTAATAAGCTCCGAAACTCCTGAACCGATTTAAGGTAAATAGATAGACAATTTTAAAGAAGATAGTTTGAGATCTGGGAAAGACAAGGTAGTTTTATCCCGGAAATCATTCCTATGCGGGTGAACATGTGGGTGAAAGTTTATATTTCTAGGGACAAACTCGAGCAAAGCGAGGGTGAGTCGCTAGTTTAAAAAATATTTAGTTTTAACTAAGGATATCTTAAGCTTTAACTGGAAAAAATAACCGTTAGTTTATATTTTACAATCAAAATATGACAAACTATAAGCAAAACGAAACGCGAGTACGATTTTATCATAAACCATTATCTTATCTGTCTGCTTCTGAAAGCTAAGCCATTTTTCATTATAAAGCACTAAAGCAATTAAACGTCACCGCATAATTTATTATCTATCGGTGAGCTATCATCCATCAGTAAGCCGCTGGGAACACCAGTATGTTAAGACCGGGGTTTGATTTAGTAGTGTTTTATATGGCTATTCCATTTGCGTTATTATACTACTTTTTAAGCAAAGTAACACGTAGTAGGTTCCTTCATTTTATATACATATATGTATAAGTTTTACATAATAATATATTCTTTACTGTGCATGTACAAGGTAACAAAGTACCTATGTTTATAGAAATAAGAGCAATAATTGATGGAATTCAATAACGGAAGAAGACTCACTTTGGGGGTGTCACATGTTTTTGTTCGTCTATTTATTTATTAGCAATGTAAGTAAGAAGTATAATTATAGGAAACAAATTTGCTAATTTCGGAAGTGATAATGAACTCGTTATCTTTTGTTTATTGAAATTAAAGATATAGGTAATTAGTTATATACAAAAACAAATTTACAATTAAGTAATTATTACCGTAGAAATCATGTCCGCGTTGAATAGTGGGAAGATAGCTAGCCGGTATTTTTAATTATGAAATATAAAACTATTCATTCATCATTTAATATGTAAAATAATATGTGATATGTAAAAAAAACATATAATTCAATACCAGGTCCTTCGACCAATTTAAAAGCTTACAACAGTATAAAAAAGCTCTCTTTTACTTTTTAAGTCTTCTAGTTTTTTTTTTCATTAAGGGCAATAAACTTTCCACCTAAATATAATACATACATAATAATTAGAGTAGGCACACTGTTACTAAAGTATAAATACAAGTATTTTATTTGACATTTAGCCTAACTTATTACGGATGTTTCATGAAAATCATGTTTTTATTATAGCACTAGTTTATGACCGCGGTTTCGTTCGAGTGATAAGCAGTGTGGCTTTCAAGGATAGTCTATGTCCGATCCCAGAATCTAATCTATGTCCTTGGAATATTTTTTGTACACAATCAACGCTGGGAAGCACTGATGAGGTCTAGGTTGGAGCGCGCTTACCTAGAAGATCCCTATTCACTCTTGCCTTGAAATTATAGGTGGCAGGAAACACGGATTGGTACTGGAAGGTCCACACCTCAGCTGCGGTTCGTTTTAAAAACGTTCAGTGCATGGATGGATACCTTGTCCATACTGTAACCGTTCAGCTAATTTAAATATAATGAAGGTAGCAAAGCGAATTTTCTATATGATTATTTATTATGTTCAAGACAACGCAGTCGCTGGCTAAAGCTTGGTGTATAAAAATGACAAAAGACATATTCTTATGTAAATTGAGCTTTCCGAAAATTCATGATAAATTATTATATATTTGACAGGTTTTCGTTTCAGAAATAATAAAATTTTACACAAACTTTCACAATTAATTAGTTAAAGTTGAAAAGTGAGATAACTTCATTTAAAACTCCGCCAGTTTCTCATTTTCACGAGAAATACCATTTAACTCTTTTTAAAATTATATTCTAATAGCACTTCAAATATTTAAGGATCCGTTAAGGGTGCTTAAATAAGAAAAGTTAAGGTAGAAATTTGTTTCATTAGAAGCTTGATATATTGTCAGTTTTAATTATTCACGGTAGGAAAATATTTTTGTCGAAACAAAATTAACGAATAAAACTTTTAGGGTTTTTATATCCTGTTTTTGAAGTGAAACTTCCTTAGTATCGTTGTGATTTGAAACTCGATGAAACGAAAATGCGGCACGAGAAAGAGATAAACACATAAATATATAGGATAAAGCCGGCGAGGAAATGAGATAGAATACATTACACAGGAAATCAAAAATAATACTCGATAATATGCTATTATGTAATATTTATGTTAAATAAAATGTAAAATAACTTTTAGACTTGGTAAAGAAAACTAAACTTAATACTTATGAAAATTAATATTTATTACTGTGAAATGAATGGCATAAATGAAATAAACGCTATTATGACTAATTGTTGCCATGGTAACCGTTGTTATTGTCTGACAAATATATATTATATTCTTATCGTATGTGATATTTTATTAATATATGATTGTAATATGCCTAACATGCCTCATTTAGTTATTGATTTGTTTTAATTTAATTGCGATATTTGCCAAAGATGTTTCACTTCTGCCGTGAGTGAATTGCATACATACACACACACTTAATTTTTTTTAATTAAATTTTTAAATTACTAGTTTGCTAAAGTGAGTGTTATTTTAAAATACATAATATATGTATAAAGATATACATAATACGTATGTATGTATTTGGGCATGATAAAATCACGAACCACGCTCAATTATTTATAAAACTTTCACATTTTTAATATTAGTATAATATATTCTATAATAATATTGAAAGTATTTTTTTTTTTTAATTTTACCCTCTTGAAGTATCTATAAATTATTCATAGATATTATCATACAGCCAAATCTACAACCTGCTCTTTTTGACGTCGGTCAAAAAACAGCAGTTTAGTAGCAAGATCTATATGCAATCACGTAGAATGCCAGCGGCAGATTCACCAGCGAAGTAATAATTGAATTATTTTTCAAGTACATATATATAAGTTTACCCCTTTGCTATATAACCAAATCGTTACCCATACACCGGAATTACCTCCTTATTGAAGTAAAATCTTAAAGTAAAAAAATATACATACTGTATAGAGTCATGGTGCCTGGCTTTATTCCCCCGTTTATATAGAGTGCCAGCGGCAGCAGCACCAGCAAGTAGGGCTAAAGCGGCCGCAGCACACCCACCCGCCGCAAACAACACTCCTCCAGAACTCCGGTTAGCGTCGCCCGCTAATCTAGCCGTTTCGTTGTGGGTAACGATTGTTGATAAACCTGTAGGAATAGAACAAGGTTGAAATATATAATATGATAGCTTACTCTTTTTAGAATTAATAAGCCTAAAGTATTTACTAGTAGCCGTAACCACCTTCTGACCTCACCATCAGATCAGTTCGATGATATGAAATCACTACTATCATCGAAAATACAAACATTTGCAAAGTTTCATGTCGATATGATAATTAGAAATTGATAAAAAAAGTCTTATAGGTATAGGGTTAATGTAGTGAAATCGGTCAAGCTGTCTCCAAGAAATTGGTGAACTTATGTACAAAAACAAACATCATGCAGACGGAGCTCCTCTTTTTTGGAGGTCGGTTAAAATAGCATATTAACAGTTTAGTTTACTTTTTTATCATCATTTTATATCATACATATCATTATTTTACTAATAAAAACATAAAAAATTTAAAACACCTGTATTCGATAAATGGTAATTGTACCTATTACGGCCATTGAAGTTAATTTTATTGACGCTTGAAGCAGTTTCTTTAACTCCATATACTGTGATATATTCGTATTATGTTAAAAATTCTCAAATTCTTAAATAAAATTCGCACCCGCAGTATGTACCCTAATGCATCCTATACAAAACATTCACTGGAGGAAACCCACTAAATGAAATATTAGGGATAATAGAAAAACTTTGAAAGAAATGGGGAGAGAATCGGCGAAGACGAAGTAATAACGTAGCCCATAAGTAGCCTACTCAATTGAGGAACAATTCAAATTCTGTGTTCTTTCTGACTGTATAAGCTAAAATTTAGTGAATTCATTTATAATATTTGTATATTTTACATTTTATTACATCTTATATTGCAATTTATTTTTAGGCTATGGAAATTAACTACCAACAATACCTATATTTAATAAGTTTAATAACGTATTTATTCAACCCTTTTTTAGGCACGGGCCTTCCTTTAATACGAGGGGGCTCAGGCCATAGTCAACCACGCTGGCCAAGTGCGAGTTGGCGGTCAGTCAGGTCAGGTGAGATCTGTGTCCTACATTTCCTCACTATGTTCTTTTCCACGTAAGATAAGGTAACAATGTTGAAAATGATTCGCACATAAAAATAACTGAGGAGCGAGACCCGGGATCCTAACAGCTTCACTCGCTTTTCCAAGCGAGCGCGTTACCACTGAGCTACCACTGCCTTAATATGTTAATAACGTACTATGAATAGTTTAGAAATATGTATTTAATTTTTCTATTTATCACCAAGGACGTTTAAAAAAATAAATTGTGAATGTTGAAAGAATATAACATTGCTGCTTTTATTCGTAAGTTGTGGTTAAAGCAATCATCTCAGGTACGTTTTATTAAATACCCAGCTACAGTTTAAACTGAGTGGAAAACTTTACAAATTGACGCGATTAGATTAAACAGATATTAAATTATAGCGAAACGTGTGCTTGAAGCTCAAATTACATTAAGACAAAAGAAAACACAAATTCAATTTTTATTAAAATCACGATAAAAACGTCAAAATTTTATTTCACAATGATAATCGTAATTATATATACCTATATATACCCTTAAATGCATAGACTTCCCAAATGTGAAGGCTTGATTTGTCAAGCAAGTATATCTTACCATCACCGAATACCGAAACACTACATCTTGTTTTGTAAGTATTTATAAGTAAATTTCTATATAACATATAAATTATTAGAAATAAAATTATGTTTGATGCAGCAATATTTCTCCATTTCAAAACTAAAATAGTTAGCAAAGTTGGAAGCGTGTTTTAATTGCAAATGCTTATGAACCAAACTTTATATTAAAATATGAATTGTGGAATTCTAAATAATATTAAAAGTTTATGTTGGTTTTTAGCTATTTAAACAACAGTATTATTATTTTTTGTTTTCTAGGTAAATAAATTTTCTAAGCCAGTCATATAATACTTTCATTTTCAAGGTAAGATATCATCATTTGAAATTGACACATCAATCTTTTTTATACAATTTTATATCAGACTGTGTATAGTATAGCGTAATACTTCATCATAAGAACATATAACATTAGATATACGTGTACATACTTGCAATTGTAAAACTAAATAAAAACTTTTTAACAAAAAAATAAACAGACTTAAAAAACACTAAAAAGGAAACAAATAACTGATTGTTAGTTTTCATTTACTATACATACCTAATCAAATATTATCTAAGTCGGTGTGCTTTGCTTTGTATCGACTGGCAAACTTAAAAAAAAAACAACATACAGCGGAATTGAGAACCTCCTCCTTTTTGAGGAAATCGGTTGAAAGTACTAAAAAAATATACTAAACTAAAGTAATAAATATAATATATTATTAGATGCAATTACCTATTAGTAGTTTAAAAATCATTACATGTGACTATTCAAATAGATAATGCTATATAATATAAATTTAAAAAAAAACTTAACTATGACCGCAACAAATATAAAACTGCAAAGAAAATTAAAAATAAGTACTCACAATAATTGCTTCGACATTCAGTACGTGAATTTGATAAAACGTGCAATAAACTTGACGATCGTGGAGGGAACATAAAATTTCCAAGCCAAATAAAAGTACAATAGAACAATCGATACTTGTAAACACATTAAAGAGCCCCTTCTATGCCGCCCCTAATACGTCTTCATCCCTTGCAAAATATCCTGTTGCGTCTACCGATTCGGCTACATGCTAATAAAGAATGCGAGGGAGTGATTTGTGGAGTTAACTCGTGTCCGTCCGACTGTGAAAATCAGATGTTTTGGGGCAACCTTGTAATATTTGAAAATGTAAAGAAATGCAGCCTTTTCAATTAAAAGCTTTTGATGTACTGCTTGCTGTGTATTTTTGAGTTGTTCAAAATTAAAAATTTAGTTAATGTTTAAAGGTAATAAACATGAGTATTTTACATTCTGTAACTTTGGTTGACTTGGCATTTTTTTTTATTTCGTATTGATTTATGAATCTAGTTTGACCTTAGGAATTTATTTTAGAATAGCCCTACAAAAGTATAATATTAGTATCTAAAGTGAATAAAATGTAAGTATTCATTTTACACACAATTATTTACAAAAATACAAAACCCGACTGTATCAATAACGAACTAAAAAGATGAAAACAAGTTTCCAAAGGAACACAGGATATACACGCAGCAAATTATAAAACATGTATGTAAAATATGTAAAACATAACCCTCCTTCTGTTGCTGTCGGGTAAAAAGTCGAGAGGTGTCATGGGACACCTGGTAAGAACGTAGTTCCTATTGTTGTCTGCTTTTGACTAATTATGTCATAAAAATAATTAATATGTTATATCTCAAATAAGTTAAACACGTTAGATACCAGAAACCTCCGATTATTGAATTAGTGCGATTATTGAATTACATATATTCTAACTAGTTTTCAAAAGACGTGTTATATTCGCTAAGGCAATCATATTAAGATATGGCCCGCACTCAGCAGTTCGACGTAAAAAACCTGAATTATAAATAGAATTTGGAAATTCAAAATTATTGTATTGAATTTGCACACAAAGGGTTATGTACCATCGTACAATTGTATGTATTTGTTATTTAATATGACTTTTACTCGATGTATGTTTAACTTCGATGATCGATAACGAAAGTTAAAAAAATATTTCTTGCATTTTTATATTTTTATTATTTTTTGATATAGCGGCAATAGAAATACAAACTCGGTGAAAATTTCAACTCTCTACCTATTAAGGTTTATAAGATACATCCCTCTGACAGACGAACGGACGGACAACGGAGGCATAATAATAGGGTTTCATTGGCACACTTCGGGTACGGAACCCTAAAAAGTATGACGTCTTTTATGAATATATAATCTTCCTACACGATGAAAAAATACTTTTTTCGACAAAAACAACAGTAAAGCTACCTATAGTTTCCGCCCAAGAATATCAATATCTAAAGTAATAAAAAACTTTTTCGGTTACACTAATATTATTTTTATATTTCCTTCACAACATTAAAATATTCACTTATTTTGTGAACGACTGTACTTTTTTGAATAAACACGCCCCTCGTTGAAGAAGCGTAGTCAGGAAATTTATTGTTATTATTATTGCCGCAGACAAAGTGTTCGGGAAGTTGGGTTTTATATCATTTTATGTGTTTTTAGTGTATCTATTGGCTGTTATAAAGATAGGAACAGGGGGATGAGTAAGTTCGAATTTATTTCAAATAACTTTCGAAGGTGTATTAACCTGTCTGTACTCAATTCGATGGCATGTTTTTGAAGTTATGCTTCTTTTGGGACGCTTGGAAAAAAGTATCAGAGAAATTTTTTTACGATACGCGCGCACACCGACGGCTAAAAAGCGATATGATGAAGTTGGCTGTATTTCTTTTACAAACAAAGAGTTGTGTCATACGGGATGAAGTCTTTGGCTATTTTTGTTCTGTTACGCCAAATAAGTATAATTTCTTACGTGCGCACATAAGTACACACGCGTTTATTTATTTTGTATTTTCGTGTAAATTGTTGATCGATTTTTATATTACTATATAAAGTACAAAATATATTCCAACTCTTGATAAAAAAATACTTAAAGCGCATCTCAATAACCTATCCATTTGTGATTTTTCTCAATAGCCATACGAATTTGAAATAATATATATGCAACTTATACCAACTCACGTATTATAGCTATATTTACTAATAATATTATGTACTAGCAATTTACCCTCGCTCCGCTCGAGTTCGTCCCTAGTTAAGTTTTAATGTTTAATATAGATTTCTCAAAGATGACATATTTTACCCGCAATAAAAAGTATCCTATATGTTGACCCGGATAACCACCTATCATCATACCAAATTTCATCAAAATCTGTTCAGTGGTTTTCTCGTGATGCGGTAACAGACAGACAGACAGACAAAAATTCTAAAAACTATAAATTCGACCTCTGTATCGATAATAATGTCTATTTCAATTAGATTTTCCAAAAAATATTTAATGCACAGGTTTGACTTAGTTACAATTTTATTATATGTATAGATAAAGTTGGACATTGTTCATTGTCATTAATCTAGTATGATGAAGGGGCCAGAAAGTATCCAAAAAAACTCCTTAACTACGCTTAGCTCCTATTAACTACTACTACGAGTATGTTTTACGTTTATTTATTAAATAAAGCTTTTAGAGCTTATTATTTTATTAAGCGAATGATTAAATTTTATTTATTTAATCATAAGCCAAGCTATTTGAAATATATCAAATGATAGTCACGAAAGACTCAATTTTGTTTTTATAAACAATTTCGAATTTATTTTCAGGCTTCGTGGTACTAAAAATAATCGGTGCATTCACTGTGTGCATGTAATCGCATGGAAAAATTCTAATATGTACAGTAAAAAGTTTAATATGTATGGTTAGAATGTTATCTTTACATTTTAATGGTCATTTTAAGGTTATTATAACAGTATTACGTCGCTTTTATAGTACTTTCAATTTACGTTCCTAAAACTTAAACAATTAAATTTCTATAACTTCGTATATCTCATGATTATATTTTCCACGTTTGACTGCAATATTCATACTAATATTATAAATGTGAAAGTGTGTTTGTTTGTTTGTTTGTTTGTTTGTTTATCCGTCTTTAACGTCGAACCGGAGATACGGATTGACGTGATCTTTGTGTGGAGATAGAGTTGGAGAGCTGGAGAGCGACATAGGCTACTTTTTACCGCGGGAGATTATCTAATTCCTACGGCAAAACACGTTATAATACAATCTAAAAAAATATTTATGATCAGAATTATTTGAAACTTGGTATTAATGCTCATCAATAAAATAAAATAAATACGTGTTTTAGCATTTTTCGAAATTTATTCTATAAGGGAGTAAAATAAGGGAGGAAAGTTTGTATGAAACTACCTTATTTAGATATTTTTTGTAGTTTTAGCGCGAGCAAAGCCGCGGGTTCTGCTAGTTTTTCTATAAATGTAACATACGTGTCAGTTTTAGGGGTAATTTATCTACTACAGTTTTTAGCTAAAATAAACATCTATTGTTAATAAAATAAACATATAAAAGTAATAGTTATATTAACTCAAAATGCACTATTTTTTTCTACAATAGAACAGTCAACATAATTTATCAAGATACATCTATTCATATAATAAAATGTTAACTCATTCGAATCTGAACATTAAATATTTTTGGAAAATCTTATTGAAATAATCATTATCATCGATACAAAGGCCGAATCTATAGTTCTTAGAATTTTTGTCTGTCTGTCTGTCTCTCTGTCTGGGAACGCATCACGAGAAAACCACTGAACAGATTTTGGTGAAATTTGGTATGATGATAGCTGGTTATTCGGGTAAACATATACTACGGTACGATACTACGATACTACGGTAAAATATCTCATCTTTAAGAAATCTGTACTAAATCAACCCGAAGGAAGCGAGGGTGAGTCGCTAGAACAACATATTTTTTTAAATATCTTACCTTTTAGACATATTTTGTTTCTCTTAAAAGTCAATCGCACATCTTTATGAGCGCGATCGGGTGCCGAAATATTCAACTGCATTGTAACAAGAATTTCTGCACTCCTGGATCCCGTACAAGGTAGCCTTACTCTGTATAAAAGTGTAAGTATAATTAATATACATTTTTACTAATATTACAAGGAAAAATATGTGTTTGTTAGCTTCTATCCTTGAAGATGTTAATTGTGATTTGATCTTTCACAGACAATACACACATATATAGGTCTATATCATCTAGACAGGTATATAAAGTGATTTTAGTGTAATAATTATATGTACCTATATGTAAAAAAACACAGAAAGACGTGTTACATATGATATTATATATATGATATACGTAATTGAAACCTAAATGTTGTTGGGATCGAAAGTAGCCTTTTAAAAATGAATATACAAACTAAACCGTGCATTCTCATAACATTTTTAAAACTGAAAATTTCAAGCAGTTTTAAAAACTTATCCAGTTAGCTTGTTTACACAACATTTTTATTTCACTACTAGTATCCAATGGACAAAGCTTCAGTGAAGCTTATCCAAGCTCACAATAACCAGAAAATAAAACTTCAATCAAAGAATAACGAAACTTTGTCCCAAGACGTATCAAGGGAAAAGTTTTGACCTTGAGTCGAACTTACCTAAAAGTCTGCAAAGTAGTAGGCACGTATCCTCGCTCGGATATGTTGACTTGAGGCGGCAGCATGGCGCCTTTACTCTCGTAGTCTATACCCATCACGTACGGCAACTACAAACAACACTTGTATGAATAATTAATAACTCATTTAAAATTGGAAGATGGTATTTCAGTTTAATTAAAATGGGATGCGTGTTAAATTAATATGTTAATTGATTTTCTTCCTATAATTGAAGTACTTTTTAATGATTGTAAATTATTTTTTATGTAGTCTTCACTAGTTAACAGTTTATATATGAAGCTGTTGAATATTTTGTAAGTGGATGAGAAAAATTTAAAGACTAATTCTTTATTTTCCATCAGTCCAAAAACTGTGATTTTTTTTAAACCCATTAAATATATCAGAATTCCATGCTATATTTTAGCCACCAGAATATTAAAAACATAACTAAATCTTTGCTAATGTTATAAAGAGGTAAAGTTTGTGAGTTTGTGAGATTGTGAGTTTGTGAAGTTGTAGGGGGTAATCTCTGGATCTACTGAACGGATTTAGGTGAAATTTGGTAAGAAGATAGTTTGAGACCCTGGGAAGGACATAGGGTACTTTTTATTCCAGAAATCATCCCTTAAAGAGGTGAAAATGGGAATGAAATTTTGTATTGGGAATCAAGCTAGGGATGAACCCAAGCGAAGCGAGGTGGAGTTAAGAACATAACTAAATACTAAAATATAAGTATTGGAAATGAAACTTGTCTAGATCACAAAGTGAAGTGACATTGTCCATTTCAAATCATTTAATTTTGACTCTACTGTACATAACACTATATGGAATGAAACTATCTTTTCGGATTATTTCGCGCATTTATTTTGATTTTTGGTTCCCGATGCGACCAAAATTTTATTTAAAATGCCAAATATTTTAAATAAAATTTGGTCTAATCTATATAATTTAATATATAAAATTTCCATGTCACAGTGTTTGTTACCGTACTCCTCCGAAACAGCTTCACCGATTTTTACCAAATTTTATATGCGTATTCAGTAGGTCTGAGAATCGGCTACTATCTATTTTCCATACCCCTAAGTGATAAGGGTGGTCCACCCCAAAAAAATATATAATTCGGCATTAAAAAATACATATAAACCTAAATTTTCACTAGAGAACCCGAGCGGAGCGAGGGTGAGTCACTAGTATATATATATATACATATATATATATATATATATATATATATATATATATATATATAATCTAAAATCTAAGAAAGTACTATAAGGAATGTTTAAAATAACCAAAACAGTATACACGGATATTATAATATCAAAATACTATGTTTTAAGGCCGTAAATGTAAAGAAAAAGTATCCACGTAATATGTAGAAACCACGCTTTTATATGTGGAGTTGTAGTATTATGGCATTACGGCTTTCAGACTGCACCCATCACGTAGCGCAAGTGCGCAGAATTACAAACAACACAGTGAATAATCCTCAACGTGACTGGAACGTTTAGCTATAGAGCTATTTATAGCTATGTCCTTTATTATATAGACTTTTAGACATGTGAGTTATTTAATATCATTTAGTATAAAATATTGTTAGATCAAATTTAGTTGAGAATATGGGTGTTTTGCGTTATATTGGTTTTTATATGAAAGGAAATATGTATAATAAGTTTTAAGGTTTTTTTTTTATGTTGGGACATTGAAACACAGCACCATCTAGTTCCAGATAAGCTACGAGGCTTGTGTTATGGATACCAGATAGTTGATACACTACACATATATAAACTTTAAATACATACATATTATAAATATAAACACCCATGACTGGAGTACAAACATTCGTGCTCATCACACAATGAATGCCCCTAGCGGGACTCGAACCCGCCACCGCTGGCATAGCAAGTAGGGTCACTACACACTGAGCCAAATGTGTCGTCAAAATATTATTTTTTCGTTTTATGTAATAAATTATCCAATTTCTAATTTTTGCTGTGCTTTTCAGGACTGAAGTATTTTTTCCGATCTGCTGTTAGAGTTTTTGACATACAATATTATACTATTCATTATAACATTTAAATGGAATACAGAAAATTATTACAGAATATCATATTGATTAAAAAAAACTAATTTTGACTTTGATAATAATTGAAAAATATTATATTTAGCTTTTTGAAATATTACTGTCGATTTAACCGTCAGTTGCCGATATAGCTAATATGATCAAATAAATTATGAATACCCCCATGGGAATCTCTATTATGCTATTTCATGATATCTGTAGTTAACATTTATATTTAAATATCGTTATTGAATATAGGTACGTTTTAACGGTCAGAGTATTATATGATCTGTGGTATGGATATCCGAATCCCACGGGAACCGTACATTTTTCCAGAATAAAAATACCCTATGGGCTATCCTATAATCTATCTGTGTGCCAAATTTCATCCAGATCCGTTCAGCCGTTCTGGCATGATTGTGTACCAAATATCTATCCATCCAAACTTTCGCATTTATATAGTAGTAAGATAAGATGGGATGATATTATATTATTATATTGAAAATTAAATAAAAAAGCCCTTTCTATACTAAAAGTAATTACTTAAACATGTTTCAAATAAATTAACCAATAAACATTCACGAAATACGCGCACGAATTTCATTGAAAAACGTCGACTTAATCTGTAAGTCTTTTGTTTCTTAAAATTAAATCGCTTTAGCCAAATTGGAAGTACGGAAACAACATTGGAACAATTAAAGTTGCTATTCGAAATACTGTTGAATGGAAGACTAATTTCATGCTTTAGAATGATATTTAACATTGATTACGGACCGTGTTTGCTTCGAAATAGGTACCATAATCAAGAATAAAATCTTCTCATTATGATTAATTTCAGTTTTGAAATTAATTATATTAGGCATTTATGAAAATGGCTAACTGTGGATATTAAACCTACCGTTTATTAGCCTTTTCATAAAAGTCTAATTTCAGTAATTTATTCAAAGGAATATAAAGGATAAGAAAATTAAAAATTAGGAGGTGCAAATGGTCCTTTGATATTATTGAAAATAATGAAATCGTATAGTGCAGGCTAAAATCTAAAACATAAGGGTTTTGAGTGGTTGTTTTGTAATTTTTAGTACCCAGTCTAAAAAATAAAATATTTAACAATTAAATTAAATATGTGGCTACGTTTTAGGAAAATTGTTAGCATGTCTCGTTATTTTAATGTATTTCAATTTCAATGTTGCTCTCACTTAAAATAATCAATATTTCAACTTCAAAATCGGCTTTTGTTTCTTTTTAATTAATATTGCCAGCATCCAATGTAGATATAATAGAAATGAGGTAAATAGGTCGCGAATTAAAAGTGAATGCGTATTTTTTTAAATAAATATAAAATATCGATGAACGAAATGAAAAGTTTAAAATATTTTCCAATTGTTCAGACCTAGCTTTATTGTAAGCAATTTTGTAATCTTATAGAAAATAAATAAAGTATTTTGGCGTACATTATGCTATTTACCAATATAATAAATGGATATGGAATGTTTATGAAGCGAAAACATTCGGCTTAATTCCTTGTTAGATGATTTATAATCTATACTAATTCGTATTATCCGTATTGGGTAATATTATAAATGTCAAAGTTTGTGAGTATGTATGGATATTTGTTACTCAAGCACACCAGAACAGCTGAACAGATCTGGATGAAATTTGGCACAGAGATAGATTACAGTCTGGAATAGCATATAAGCTAACTTTTTATCTCAGAAAAATGTACGGTTCCCGTGGGATAGATTTGTTTTTGCTTTTCTAGAAGCGAACCCGAGTAAAATGAGGGTGAGCTGCTAGTGTTTAAATAAATTAGTATTCAAATACGAGTAAATTCTTCTGTCTTTTTCCGCTATTACCACAAAAATACGTAAAAGAATGAAAAGAACTACAAATCCTATTAAAAATTAAGTAAATGCAATATTAATGTTTCACTTACCGGTCTTCTCCCAAGAGCCTGCCACATGAACTCTAAGTCAGCTATGTGCGCTGGTACGGGAACTATGAAACCCGTCGCGTACGTATTCACGACGCCTTCTCTAACGTAGTACAACTCTGCGTCTAAACCTAAAACAATAAAAAATTATAAGTTTAACAAAACTTTACGCTTTTCAACAACAAGAGGACTTTTCGTAATTTTTACGGTTAGAAACGCATAATAATAATTTTATCTTTGAATTTTATGTCAATCTAACTAACCAATTTTATATTTAATAGTAAAAACACATAAAATCATTCAAGTAGTAGACAGATAACAAGCAGATGGTATAAAAATATACTTTTCCGTTTCCTTTTTTAGACACCCCTTCAATGTCATGCTAACAACAACTCACAATTTCAAATGCATCCTCTCTAAAAATCACATTATTCTAATTTTTGCAATTGCGTTTATAATTCAAAGAGAAATGAGCTTTACTTCTAAGCAATAGAAATCAAAATGCTAAAGCAGAACACTTTGCGTTTTTGACTTAGATTCAGTTGAATGAATGCACCGAACAAATGGTGTTCTTCCCCAGATGCCGGTTCGAGTCCCATGGGACGTAGTGCGTCAAATTATCCAACTAACTCCATTTGCGAAGCCAAAGAGAGCAGCGCTCGGACTAGCAATTTTGGTACTTTAGCATTTTTGCACAACGAGATTACTACGTGAGCTGCTTCAAGAATATCCTATTTGAAAATAGTATAAAGCTGCAATGAAAATAATAGTTGTACACTATAAAATTCTTTCACTATACGTATTTTTAAAATAATCCATATAAACTAAAATCACGAATGCTCTTAAAACAGACTTTTAAAACATGTTATAAAAATTTAAAACGCACAAAAACAAATCCGTGATACGATCCTTTTAGAGGGGCACTTGTGGAAATATTAGCTGAGTATTGAAATCGCTAGTGGATTAAAAAAAAAATAACTAAAAATTAAAATGGCGGATCATCCAATCAGCGTTCATTTGGAGGCGGCAAAGCGGACGCGACAGTCAAACGGACTGAATATGAAGTGGCACTTTGCACAATTGATGAATCACTACCCCTACTTTGTACATGCACATAAAGCATAAGGGCTGGCGACTTTCATAGTGACGAATGGTGAATAAATAAAAATGTAAAACTTAGCAAATGTCCATCCACAAAATGCATTTCAGTTTTACTCTCAGTAACTATTTTTTTGTTATTGTTATAAAAAACTTAAAAAATAAAAGAAATTCTATCCCACGGGAACCGTACATTTTGCCGGGATAATAAGTAACCTATGTGCTATTTCAGACTAATCTCTGTGTCAAATTTCATCCAGATCCGTTTAGCCGTTCTGGCGTGATTGAGTAACAAACATTCATCCATCATCTAACTTTCGCATTTATCGCAGATAGACCTTAAAAAAGATGTCATTTTCCAAATTTTGAAGAATATAAATCCTAAACTTTGTATTGAAATGACAACTTAAATCATTGTTATAGAATCTTAGTACGTAATGAATATACATACATCTTTTTTTTACACACACACACACACACACACACACAACACACAAACGCAAACGCAAACTTATATATGTAATTAATTGTAAATTTTTATTTTGTTTTCACTCTGTTTGTTGACTTTCTAGTCTTGGTGGATGAGCGGGGCACCCAGTAATACGGGTCTCCGCCTAGTACAGGGGCCCTTGCGACTATTTTGGAATGTAATCTTTTAAGTCAATAAAAGTATTTTTTTTTTATTTTTTTTTACACTTCCATTCATTAAATATTAGAATCTCGTTCTAAGCACCGTGATTGAAACTGGCACTGGCAAACTGAAAAAACGTTTAATTTTGTTATAATTAATTAATAATTAGAGGACTTTCACTGTATGAAGAAGGCAACCCTAAATATAAACAAGCACCCTCCCCTGTGCCTTTAGACAATAGACGTCGGACACCCTAGACACTGTAGCCACTTTGAGAGTCACTGTACGAGTATATCTGTTTGCAATAAACATCTGCTTAAAAGGATAAAAGCTTTTAAAAAACATATGAATTAAATTGGTTTATTTATTTTCTAAAATTTATTATGTATATATGTTGCAAATAAAACTAAAAAAGGCTTGAAACAGTGGAATAATTAAATTTTTAAAACAAGGCGGAAAGTCCTGTAGTAGGCACTCAACTCTACAACATAATGTTCTTTTAAGTTCCGTAATTTAAAACTGAATTTAGTATACTTTGCAAAAATATTGTTTGAAAAGTATTATATGTCATGCACGTAGCACTGAATAAATATTATATGTAAAGACCTCAGACTAAAGAATTACATGTATACTAGCAGAACCCGCGGCTTCGCTCGCGCTAAAAGTACAACAAAAAACTCAAAAAAAAAAGGTAGGTTTCATACAAATTTTCATCCCGTATTTTACCACCTTATGGGATGAATTTTGAAAAATGCTGAAACACGTATTTATTTGTATGGAGTTTCAAGTAGTTCTGATCATAAATATTTTTAGAGTTGTATTATAACGTGTTCTCCCGTAGGAATTAGATAATCTCCTGCGGTAAAAAGTAGCTTATGTCACTCTCCATCCTTCCAACTATCTCCACACAAAAAATCACGCCATTTCGTCATTCCGTTTCGACGTGAAAGAAAGACAAGCAAACAAACAAACACTTTCACATTTATAATATTAGTATGGATATGGATTAATGTCATATTTTAAAACATTATTGTTTGGCTTCAAGTTTAATTTTATGACACTCCTATATTATTCCTTAGTCTAAGGTAAAGAAATAAAGTATTTAATGATTAAACTTTCGGTTATTAATTTATATCGTACCTGACTTCGTCTTCATGGACTTACAATTTCAAACTATTAAACTAGACAAAAGATTAACTAGATTATGAGTAACTTTAAAAAACCGAAGAGATACATACTCAGTTCGGAGGACATTTTTTTGTATGAAATGCCATATCTTTACCAACTATAACGTTTTGTATGATAAATAGTTTATACCTCAAATATGCGATATGAATTTCTAAATTTTATAGTTCTTTCTTCTTTCATTTTACATATTCAGCGCTAAAGACAGCAGTTATTTGTAAATTGTTATTGTTGCTATATTTATATTTAATTTATTGAACCTAATGATTAATCTTGATTATTAATAATTATCTACGTTTTTAAAATCTAAAAATAAAAATCTAAAAATATAAAACATGTAATAACCACTAAGCAAACCTTATTAAAATAAATAAAATAAACATCTCAAACAATATTTATTTACAAGAACTTCTCTCTTCAATTATAAATGTTGGATCTTACACTATATCTGCAGTACATTACTAGAAACAACAGAATTGCTTTGTTTTGCGCATAATTAAGTTTGTTAAACATTCTTTGAAACAATTGTATTCTAATTATATTTATAAATGCTAACGAGCAGATGAACCCTGCGGCGGATCCTTTGTCAAGGCGCGAATGTGTACCTCGTTACAAGATACAATCTGAACTTGTTAATGAGACCACCCTTATAGTGCATGCTCATAGTTACTCCTGTCGTGCCTTTTGTTCACATTTTTACATTACTAACGACGTGTTTACGTTATCGAGTCGTGTATGGTTGATTTTTCCTAAATTATTCACCTTATAATGAAGTTGTTATAGTTCAAAAAAATATTTTAATACACCATATTCTGAGTTAAACACGAAATGGTGTGAGTATTTTTAGCGAGTTTAACCTGGGAAAGACTGCGAAACTACAGACTGGCCGTATAAAATTGACGAGCGTTATACGTATATTACTACTAAGAACGTATTTAATCCATACTAATATTATAAATGTGAAAGTGTGTTTGTTTGTTTGTCCTTCTTTCACGTAGAAACGAAACATCGGATTGGCGTTATTTTTTGTGTGGAGATAGTTGGAGGGCTGGAGACTGACATAGGCTACTTAGTTACTACTGACATAGGCTACTATAGTTTTTACCGCGGGAGATTGTCTCATTCCCAAGAGAAAATACTTCATAATACATAAAAAAATATTTATGATCAGAATTACTTAAAACTTGGTATTAATGCTCTTCAATACATACACTAATTAAATACGTGTTTTAGCATTTTTCGAAATTCATCCCATAAGGCGTTAAAATAAAGCATGAAAGTTTGTATGAAACCTACCTTTTTAGAGTTTTTTTATAGTTTTAGCGCGAGCGAAGCCGTGGGTTCTGGTAGTGCTTATATAAAACAAGGTTAAAATACTAATATTAGCCTCGAGGGCGTAAGTCATTATTTGGACATATTTAATAAATGCTTCTTTGTACAGATACACTGTTACACGATGTCTTCTTCAATTTCAAACTAAGTTTTATGATATTTGCCAATAATGAGTGATTTCTCAAAAAAAAAATTAACTTTAAAGGGACTTAGAAAATTAGAACTTTTTGTTGGTTGATGTGTAATAATAACATTGGACACTTAATTAGAGATTTACAGAATATCAATATTTCATTTGAGTATAATCTCAGCCGTAACCTACGATTGAGTTAATATTAATTAGGTACGCACTTATTTATAAACATTATATTTAATTTACAAATACTATTTTTGAATATAAATCTTGTATCAAATAGACAATTTGTAAAGTTTATATAAGCAATCCATAGAATACCTATATTTGGCATGAAGCAAAATGTTTTAAAACTTAAAAAATATACACGAAGTTATAATTAAGAAAGTCAAATAATAGTATATTTTACATGCAATATGAAGCTTTAAAGTCTAGTTTAGTAAACTAGAGATATTACACAGATTTTAAGGGCAGTAGACAGCAAAGTGTCTATGAACGCACCGTAACAGCCAACATCACGCACTCTGGTTTCCGAGTGTAATGAGTCATTATACGTAATTACATAACAGGAGTCCATTGAGCCTGTAATTTGGATCATTTTACTGAGCACTATGGTTACGGAACTTCCGCTTTTAATGTAAATGTAGTTTTGATTATAACGTTATTTTTATGTATGTATTTAACTATTTTTAAATATCCTACTGCTGGGCAAGGGCTTTCTCTTAAACCAAGGGAGACCTGGCCATGCTCCA